TTCTTTTCAGGGATATACTTAGCTGTTCTCCCTTAAAAAGAATTGTGTTAGTCTATCACAGTTCATTGACTTCTAATCAAAAGCATCAGTTCAATCCAAAAATAAACTTCTTTGCAATCACTGTAGAAAGTTAAGATGGTATTCCAAATGTAAAATTGAAAACAATAGGAATGAGTCACTGGTTTTTTTTTTTTTAATGAAGGAAATTGAAAGGGATGCTCAAGCAGACCAATATCTGGAATCAAGCTTATATACATTCCCTCAAATAAAGTATTTGAGGTTTACAGTGCTATGCTGGATGGGGAACTTCAATTTTGGTCCCAAATCCAGAGTATTTTTCTGAGTAACAGACAGGGGCAGTATTCACCAGGTTCTGACCAGTTCTGGAAAACTGGGCGTGAAAATTTTGAGTAGTTTGGAGAACCGGTAAATACCACCTTTGGCTGGCCCCACCCCCATCTATTCTCTGCCTCTCAAGTCCCAGCTGACCAGGAGGGAATGGGGATTTTACAGTATCCTTCCCCTGCCATGGCCACCAAGCCATGCCCACAGAACCGGTAGTAAAAAAAAATTGAATTCAACCATTGGTAACAGACAACAACAAAGATAGATGTATTTTTTTAAAGAAGTTGTTCAAAATGCAGGAGCAGCCTCCTCCTATTTGCTACTATTATTTGACTAACCCCTAGAAAAATTCATGTTAATGCTGCTCAGCTATGCTTGGAAGCCTGAGGGGGAGAGCACCAGAGAAGGATATGGAGATGGGTATGACTGCTTTTTCCCCCTCCCTTCCCCCCCCTTAAGGTTTTCATGTTAATTGATTCAGCTAGGAGTCATCTGCTCCACCTGGGATTGTATGTCTGTGATCAAAAATATGAAATATGCCATCATAAAGATTGACTGGATTGAATATTTGAATGCAAGCAGAGAATATTAGATAGGAAGAATGGGAGGATTGAAAGTAAGTCAAAGCTTTCCTCAGCTTTCCCATATATCTTCCTAGACTTGGTTTTCCATTAAAAACAGTAGATTTGTTTAGTGCATTAGGATAGCTACTACTACCCTTAGCAGCAATGGCAAGTCAGATTGCTTTGGGAAGACTGCAAACAAGATCAAGGGAGAAGAGTGTTTATAAGGGGTTCTTGATGCTCTCTGAGCTTGGTTGTTTTTAGCAGACATTTCATTACCCAAACTAGGTGACCTCATCATTAATGTCACAAGAAACAACCAAGCTCAGAGAGCACCAAGGACCCCTCAACTCTGAGCTACAAATATTCTCTTTTGACACAAGAGTGTTTCTTTAAGATTTATCTCTGGATGCCAATGACAAAGTCCTTTGACTTAATTCCATTTAGCTTGCATTTATAGACATGCTCAATAAGTGTATCTGGTTCTCTTCCATCTCCTTTTTAAATATATGACAGCCTATAATGGACTTCCTGAGCAAGAACAACAATCCTACAAATTATCTGTTCTGCACTGTATGGAGATGTTGGAAGAAGTTGCTAGGATACATTATGTTAGGGAAGAAACTTCTGTGTGTCTCTGACTGTCTTCTTTGACCTACTTGGGAGTCTTAAAAAGTCCTAATTTGGTATACTTTAGAGTATTAAAAGTATAATCATAATTCAAACACATTTCATAATCATAATTCTCTGATACATACTAGGGGATTCAAGTCTTGGAAGCTATATATTGGAGAAGGACTTAGTGTGGTCATTGACAGCAGTCTGAATATGAGTCAGCAGTATGGACCAGGTTATATAAGAACTCATACAGAAGCACCATATGAAAAATATGTAACATTATTCTACCTTAGTCTGGTGGTGTGGTTGCCCCTGAATTACTATTCTTATTATTATTCTTATTATTCTTATTATTATTCTTACTATGGAAGAAGGGCATTTATAGAACAGGTTCAATAGAAATGATACAGAGACTTGAAGACAAATTGAAGGACCCTTGGAAGTTCAATGAGAGAAAAGAAGACAGAGAGGAGAAATAATAGTGTTGTTTGTTTGCTATTGAGTAAGTTTATGTAACAGCCTATCTCACATTAGGACTCTTCAAGTACCGGTACATGAAAAGGTACCTAAGAGAAGATGGTCATGAAATATTTTCCATTTGCACAGAAATAGGATAAGAAATAATGAATATAAGTTGCAGCTATCTAGATTTCATTTTCAATAAGAACAAACTGAAATGCAGTAAGATCTGTACAACCACACAACAGTTTATCTATAGAGGCTGTGGATTCTCTATCTCTGGAAGTTTTTAAAAAGACTGAACAGCCATCTCTTGAGATGGTTTAATTGATTTTTCTGAACATTGCAGAGAGTTGGACTAGATCAGGGCTGTCAAACTCCTGGCCTGCAGGCTGGATGCATCATGTGCTGGCTACGCCCATGGCCACGCCCAGTGTAGCGAAGGGGAGGAAAGTCCCGATACATCATGTGAAGCCGCTGTGATGATGTGAATTTAGCATCCCTGGACTAGATGATCCTTGAGGTCCCTTCCAACTCCACACTTTTATTTATTCAAATTGAAATAAATAAATAAATAAATATTTACTTACTATAATTCTTAGGCTATAGCAATATGCATTTTATTGGTTATTTATCAGTTAGACAATAAAAGCCTCAAATTCTAATCAATAGGTAGAATTCAGATTATATGGGTTAAAAAATAGCCATTAACAATAGTTTTTGCAATTGTGTCTTATTCTTTAAATTGAACGGATTAATTTTTCTTCTACTACTTTTTATATTCTTTTTTTAATACCTATGGATTAAAATCTTTTTCCTTATTTTTATAATACTGGATTGGATGGTGGGTTTTTTTTGCTCCATTTAAGAATTTTGTTTTCTTTAAGCCTGGAATATAAAGAAGATATAAAAGGAATATAAAGAAGATATAAAAGGAATA